GTTGGGCAACCAAGTAAGGGCCAGTCTATTTGGACTTGAGCTTGCCCAGAAACAAGCGTGAACAAGAATTGTATAAAAGTACCGAATCCCCAACCATAAACTCTCATTTTGTAATTTTTAGGTCATGTTACTTCTTCATCTTTTCTTTGTAGGATAAAGCAGATACCGATTGGAGCTCACCACTTTGCCCATGGACCTACAAATGTTGAAGGTCGCTTCTTCATTGTTCAATCGAAATTTCATCTGCCCCTTTTCCATATCAACTAAGGCTCAACCTGTAGCAAGGAATGGACTCCTAAGAATAATAGGCACTTCAAAATCGACTTCACAATCAAGAATAACAAAATATGCTGGAAATATGAACGACTCCACTTTTACTAGCACATAGTGGAGTATCTCTATAAGCCTTTTTACTGTTCGATCGGCCATCAGTAGCCGCATTGCAATGGGCTTTGGATCACCCAAATCCACTTCTTATAAATCGAGAGGGGAATGAGATTTATTCTTGCCCCCAGATCACATAATGCTTTCGCAAAATGTAATGACCCGACTGTACAAGGAATAGTGGATGCACCCGGATCTTCTTTCTTTTGTACTAGAGATCTTGTGGCAATAGCACTAAAATGCTGCATTCTATCATCATCCTCAAAAGTGATCGATCTTTTCTTTGTAACCAGATCTTTCATAAACTTAAAATAACCAGGAATTTGTTCTAGAGCTTCTACCAAAGGGACATTGATGGAAAGTTGCTTCCACATTGTTATAAAACGTCGATATTCACCATCCTCGGTCTTTTTCACTAATATTTGAGGAAATGGGGTGGTGGTCTAGGGATGGGAGTTACCTTTGTAGGCATTTTTGCATTTTTTCTAGTGTTATATTCTACTTCACCACTAACCTCTACAACTTTATCATTATCTTTTATCACCTTTTCCTCATTAGATGGCATAGGTGGGTCAATGGTTTGCTTACCACCCCGAGTAGTGATTTCCATACAGTGTCCATCATTTGTCGGATTTTGGAAAGTGTTGCCAGGAAGAGTGCCCGATTATCGTGTGTTCACAGTCGCATATAATTGGGCCATTTGCAACTCAAGCTGCTTAATTGATATTGTATGTGTATCAAATTTCTGCCCAATACCCGCTAAATCACTCCTTAACTCTTTAGTGTGCTCATCACTATCATCGAACCTCGTCATCATTTTGTGCAACATATCCTCAACTCGCGCCATACTATCTCCACCATCCCTAGGAGTAACTTCACGATTTTGAGGAGGGACATAGGGCCCATTCCTATCATTTTGGTTACCATAGTTACCCCTGTTGAAGTTTTCGTCGCGGTTGTAATTTCCATCTTGGACATAATGACCCTCAAGATTATAGTTACCATAGATCCGACCTTGGTTTCCTTGACCTTGGCACCAATTCTCCTGATTTGAGCCTTGAGTACTCGGTCGGAAACCCCCCGTTAGCTCATTTACTGTATATGAATTCTCCACATAATCGCATTCATCATTTGGTGGTGGTGGTTTAGACAAGCATTTAACTACATTTATCTTTTCTGCCCTCTAGTGACATGTTTTAATACCAACCCAAGCTCAGTTCTCATCTGAGCCATCTATTCACGAAACGCATTTGTGGCTGGGTTGTGAGTGGATTGCACTGTGAAGGTATTTCTCTTAGTATCTGATTTCCTAGTACTCCAAGCTTTATTATTCCGAGAGATTTTCTCTAACTTTTTGACAATCTCGGCATAAGGACACTTTCTATAAGAACCACCCGCTATAGTATCCAATACCGCTTTATTATTATCATCCTGTCCCCGAAAAGTATTCTTTCAGTGACTCATCATCTATGCGGTGATTGGGGACACTTCTCAAAAATAAAGTGAATTTATCCCAAGAAATACTAACTGACTCTCCTGGTAGTGCCACAAAGTTGTTCACTCTATCTTTGTGATAAATTTTCTTGGAGACAGGGTAGTAACGTGCTAAGAAAACATCCCTTAGTTGGTTCCAAGTTAAAATTGAGTTATAAGGGAGCTCAGTGAACCAAATAGCAGCCTCTCCCGTTAGTTAGAGAGTAAATACTCATAGACCTATTACATCTAAATCCAAATCAGGCCTCCCAATACAGCTTTTACACACTGCCCTTACCTTAGCTATATGGGAATGTGGGTCCTCAAAAGGTAGCCATAAAAATAAACCTCTAGCAGTGAGAATTTGCATCAGACTACTAGTTACCACAAAGGTGTGGCCTTGTGGTAGAGGGGGCAAGACAAATGGACCATCAGAGTCTGCAATATTATCATAACCTCTCTAATATTCTTGAGGGCGTGGAGCAGGATTTTGTCCCCTTTATTGATTTTCACCCTGATCATCGGGCAATAACTGACCATGAACATCAACTGGAGCTGGGATGTTCTGGTTTTGATTATCATCGTTAATACCCAAGTTTCGATTCATATTGCGTAGTGTATGCTCTTATTCATGATCATAGGGAAATAAGTGGTATCTTCCTCTCCGTGTATTTGGCATACAAGGAAGATAGTTCTGCAAGAATTAAAAACAATAAAAAAGTAAAATTAAGAAAATATTGATATACCGTGGTTTCACTGTATCTTTAATGCTTTTTCCTTAAGTTTAGTGTGTGTCCAAAAGCTTTTTGTAATAATTTTTATGTAAGTTTCTCTTTATTTGTAGGAAATTTGTCTAAAGATGAACGCGGAAGTTTTTGAGCAAGAAATGCAGAAAAGTTACCACCTACAGAGCTTATGATGGTCCATCGTGCCTGTGACGGTCCATAGGTGGCATCGTAGTGAAGCTGTTGAAGAAAGATGTGGAACTCTGACCAAGTGTGGGGTCACGAAGTTCTTGACAGACCGTCATAGCCATGACGGTCCATCCTGCTGGTTCGTCATGATGATCAGAGAAGTAGTCCAGTACCCAAATTCCAAGAGTTTAAGTTTTATAGAATGGAGACCCTTGACAGACCGTCGTGCTTGTGACGATTCGTCATACCCGTTCGTCGAGGGTAATGAAGAAAGCAACAGAAAGATCTGTGAATAATAGGATGACAGAGGCCATGATGGCCCGTCGTGACCACGACGTCCCGTGACGAGGTCCGTTGACCCAGCCGCGTTTTGACAGATTTTCAGCAAATAGAGTCCTTCTTTTATTAGGTTTTTATTTCTTATAAATAGTTGGAAAAACCTCGTTTTAGGGGTTAGACTCTCTTATGGTTAGAATCTTTATTGGTTAGAATCTCGGTGGGTTAAAGACTTTTATGTTAGATTCTTTGTTATTAGATTATTTTGGATATTAGACTTTGGGTTGTTACACTTTTCTCTGGAGTTGATTGTTAGTGATTTTATCGATTAATCAAGTAAATTTCAGGATATTATTCTTTCTCATTGAATTAAGTGCATGAATTCTTATATTATATATACGACCGCTTTACTTCTTATTTGAGAAGTAAGTTTGAGCGTATCAAATTTTGGCACCACTGCCAGAGAACGAACCCGGGTCACCCGCATGACTGGCAGGAATACTTACCACTTTACTACAATGACATATAGTGGCTCTGATGATGAGCGTGACCCCGAGTACGTGCCCCCAGGCACTGCCACTCCATCATGAGTTGCACGTGCTACCAGAGCTATGCCCATAAAGGTGGCGTCCGGTGTAGTAACTACCTCCTAGTCTGATGAGGAGCGCACATTGACCGGCACACCTTCTGGGTCAGCTACTCATGAAGAAGGAGCGTCTGGCTCCTTAGGAGTTTCGTGGTCGGAGGAAGCCTCCGGGTCTGCCGAAGTCCCTGCCCCTTCCACAACTGTACATTCTGCCTCGTATGATGAGGCCAACAGTTTTGATTCCACTCCCAGCTCACCAACTCGTGCTCTCACCCCAGTTGCCGACCAGCCCAACCGGTGGTGTGTCGATGGGCAATATCAATTTTATTCAGACGCAATGTTTTTGAATGATAAAGGAGTCATGACACGGACCCTTACACTGGAGAGGTGGGTACTTATGGGAAGTCTCCCTACCATGCAGAGATCCACAATATCTTCACCAGACACCGACTGGAGTGGACAGCGCGTTCTTTGGGCCGTTATATTGAAGAGTTGGTCTGTGAGTTCTACATTTCTTACGTGGCTACTCTTAGATCACATATTAATAGGTGGGCTGCCCCCGCCAAATAGGCCCCATTTGAGCATGTCCGAGTACGTGGCATTCAGGTTGATATCTCCCTGCCTGCCATCCGCCGGTATCAATACGGCGAGGATGTTGATGCCAATTCGACCCCTCTCACCGCCGAGTTTGACTACCGGTGGAAAATTGTCAAAGATAGCCAATTCTTGCGTGAGCTATCGCTTAGAGACCACCAAGCGATGGATGGCCCTGCACTTGTCTATTGATGGAGACGGTGCCGACTGGGTAACAAAGCTGAAGGGAGCCATCAAGAAGGCTAACTTGACCTTCACGGCTAAGTTCTTATGGTTGATTGTCCGCCACTACCTTTCCCCCACAGCCGCTTATAATATAATCACATGAGATTGTGCAGTTCTGATTGTTATGCACGACAGGGATTTTAAGGTCACAACTACTTACCCTCTTCCGTGCATGATATTTTCCTTATGCAGGTTCACAGGTGTTCCCATCTGGATTATTGATCGGCTCAAGACTCCACTGGGCATTGTTGATATCGGCCTCATCAAGGATGAGGCCAATGAGTTTGCTCCATGCAGAGGGACCCGTCTAGAGTTGCCTCCACTTGGTGAAAATCAGGCTGATACGGTAGCACAGGCTCGAACGGCTACACAGGCTGCTTGTGAAACCACTGACACTACCCCGTTCGAGTCTATCTCGGGTAGTAGCACTGCCCTGAGTTGCTCTCGCTCAGACCCTTTCCCCGCTCTGGTCCAGCTTGCTAGGGTCCAGAAACTAGAGGCACAGAAGGCTACACTTCTGCATCACATCCAGCCTTGAATGCATAGGTCTATTGTTGAGGCGGAGGAGCGCTTGGAGTGTAAAATGGTCCAGCACACAGAGCGGATGATTGCTGAGGTTCATCAATGCTAAGACGCTTTTGAGTTGCAGGTTCTTGTCCGGCCAGCTCCTCAAGTGGACGTGTCAACCCTTCAGGCTGCGATCGATAGACTTTGAGCGGACATTGATATGATCCTACAGGCTAGGGTGCCTGAGTCTGAGGCCCCTTCTACAGAGCCTACTGAGGACACAGTGTTGGCGGCCTTATTCGCCACTTATCAAATTCCACAACCTCCCCCTCAGAGCATGCCAAGAGGCGTAAGGGTCGAGAGGAGGATGAGGCTAGAGCACGGAAGAAGGAGCGTTGTGAGATGGAGGTTGCGAGGAGAGCCTCGCTTGCTGATGATGAGGCGCGTCGGAACAGGGATGTAGAGTCAGCTGCCGGGGCATCTAGCTCCAGAGATGTGGCGATAGCGGGAGGCACTCCTGATAGTGTTGTTGCTGATGAGGACACTGCTGAGGGTGTCCAAACTACAGAGGTAGTGGGTTCCGGGGAACAAAACCCACCAGCTCGCTGATTGTCGGTGCTTTGCGCCCCAGGTTTTCTTCACCTACCATTTTCATATTTCAATTTTTTTATGCATTGGGGACAATTGCATGTCTTTTTGTTGAGGGTGGGGTAAATAGAAAGTGAGTGCTAGGGTGAAGTCTGAGTAGCCCAATTCACTATCCTCTTTAGGATTTTTCTTGCCTGTGCTCTTTTTCCCCAAAAGACTGATTATTTTTATTGTTGAACTGGCATGTCTATATCTTGTGTACATAGTTTAACTCTGAAGCATAATGGCTAAATTGATATCATCATGAAATGAATTTGATGCATGACTAGGCATAGTAATTTAAATTTGTGGCTCTAAGCATGACATAGAGATACACCACTACATGACCCTAAGTCTAAAATTTGAACTAGGTGTCTGATAATCTGGTAGAGTAATCAGATGTCAACTGAGTGTGAGGAAGATTTGAATAGTCCACTATTTGTACTGAGCTAGAACTTGCCTGGTTCGTCCTGCTAAAAGTAACCTGTAATAGTCAATTAGGAAAGGATCATAGGTCCTTGTTCAATATAGCCAATTTTTAGCCTAAATAAAAAAACTGAATGAAATTAATCCCTCTTTTATCCCAATGATTTGAGCTTAAAATAGACCTTTATTTTTCACCCCAACTGATCTTTTCTGGGAATAATTTGTTGGCCCTGGTCCCTCCTTGGACATGTGCACCTCAGCTTATGCCAAAAGCATAAGTAGAGGGTGGCTAATGCAGTAAACAACCCTTTAATGGACCTGACCCAACTTTGGGTATTGTGTACTTTGACTCATGGCAAAGCCATGAGTTGAGGGTGGCTATTATGAGGAATGCTCTTGAAAGTGGGGTTGAAAGAACAAAGATAGAGAAGGAAAAAAAGTAAAGTGACTCAACAACCAATTGAAAGAATAGTGATTAAAAAAATAGAACAAATACAAGCAAGAAAAGAGGAGAGTCACTTACACAAATGAACAAAGAAGGGAAAATAGCAAGGTGAAAGAATATGAGAATTGGGCGAAATAAAATGATAAAAAAGTGGTATCTTGAGCTGATATGTCAAGAAGGGCAAAAAGTTACTAAAAGTATACCTTAATATACCCTACCTGACCCTGAGCCTATGTTGCAAACTAAGAAAGTCCTATCGTGATCCTAAAACTTGTATAGTGAACTTCAACCAGTGAAAATAAGGACAAGCTTATGGCAATATGTATGAATAAGTTGTGAATTTGTTCTGAGAGTGAGTGTTGAAAAGAAATCCTTAAACTCAACTGAAATCATTGTGTGAAAATGAGGATGTTATTTTGAAGTGAGGACACTAGTTGCAATACCGGAAATATTAAACCTCAGTGAGAAATCAAAGAGGATAGGTGTCAGTGCGTGGTGAGCCTGTGTCATGGTATGATTCCACATAATTCAACCCTAATAGTGATAACATGCATAAATATGATGATACTAATCGGTATTGATAGCCAAATGATTGTGAAAGCTAAAACATGGATACTATTGTACAAAGATTTTTGTAGTGAGTCATAGTGTGTCGCTTGAGAACAAACAACGAATTTAAGTTTAGGGTGTTGATATACCGTGGTTTCATGGTATTTTTAATTCTTTTTCCTTAAGTTTAGTGTGTGTCCAAAATCCTTTTTGTATTAATTTTTATGTAAGTTTCTCTTTATTTGCAGGAAATCTGTCTAAAGATGAACGCAGATGTTTTTGAGCAAGAAATGCAGAAAATTTACCACCTACGGAGCTTGTGACGGTATGTCGTGCTTGTGACGGTCCGTAGGTGGCATCGTAGTGAAGCTGCTGAAGAAATATGGGGAAGTCTGACCAAGTGTGGGGTTACGAAGTGCATGATGGACCGTCGTAGTCCTGATAGTCCGTCCTACTGGGTCTTCGTGATGATCAGAGAAGTAGTCCCAGTACCCAAATTCCAAGAGTTTAAGTGTTATGGAACAGAGACCCTCGATGGACCATCGTTCCTGTGACGGTTCGTCATACCTGTTCGTCGAGGGTAATGAAGAAACCATGAGAAGGATCTGTAAAGTATAGGATGACGGAGGCCATGACAGCCCGTCACGAGGTCCGTCGACCCATCAGCGTTTTGACAGATTTTCAGCAAATAGAGTCCTTTTTTTATTAGGTTTTTGTTTTTTATAAATATTTGGAAAAACCTCGTTTTTGGGGTTAGACTCTCTTATGGTTAGACTCTTTATTGGTTAGACTCTCGGTGGGTTAAACACTTTTATGTTAGATTTTTTGTTTGTAGATTATTTTGGATATTAGATTTTGGATTGTTACACTTTTCTCTGGAGTTGATTGTTGGTGATTTTGTCGACTTATCAAGTAAATTTCTGGATTTTATTCTTTCTCATTGAAGTAAGTGCATGAATTCTTATATTATATATATGAATATTGTGATTATGACTATGGGTAACTAAGCTCCATTACTAGGGTTGTGGGAACCATGGGTGAATAATGAGGTAAAATCTAACTAAAATAACAATTCTAGAATAGTCTCATGCATGTATTAATAATTCTTTCGATTAGAAGTCTTTTTAACTGATGGCCAACGTTAGAACTCGCCTTAATTCTACTTGTCGGACCAAGGAGGTAGATAATAGGAAAAGAATTATCAACAAAGATTTAGTGTATACTATCTAATAGGCTAGTATTGATTGATACGAGGTAATAACTTAGTCAATTATCGAATACAATGCTTAATATGAGGTAAAGGTAAGGGTTAGTATAGCAACACATGTAGCCGGACTAAGGTGCGATGTGAAATTTTCTAGATGTCGGACCAAGGATTTAGAAGTACATAACTTATCACTTTGCATGCAAAATACTAGGAAAGAATTGTTATAGTTAGAATTATTAAATTAGGAACCTGTGGGGAACACTTAAACCCTAGTTATTTTATTTAATTGATTAAACTCCAACATTTGAATTTGTTAGTTGTCTATTTAATTTAGGTAGTTATTTTCATTCAATTTGAAATAAAAAACCCCCCTTTATTGTATTTGTTTTCTAAGGAAATAATTGACTAAATAATAGTAATAATAGATTGAAGTTAAGTCTTAACTATTTTCCTCGTGGGAACAATTTCAACCTCATTAGTTGGGTTCTTTACTCGATACGACCGCTTTACTTGTTATTTGAGAAGTACATTTGAGTGTATCAAATATAAACTAAACTTTAGATATAAGTTTAAGTTAATCTAAAAGCTACTTTCTCCGGCAGCGACGCCAAAATTTGATACGCTCAAACTTACTTCTCAAATAAGAATTAAAGCAGTTGTATCAAGTAAAGAACCCAACTAATGAGGTTGGCATCGTTCCCACGAGGGAAAAAGTTTAGACTTAAGTTTAATCTATTATTACTATTATTTAGTCAATTATTTCCTTAGAAAACAAAAGACAATAAAAGGGGGGTGGGGTTATTTCTAAATAAATGAAACTAACTAACTAAATTAAAAGTAAACGACTAACAGATTCAAAGCTTGGAGTTCAATCAATTAATAAAAGTTACTAGGGTTTAAGTAGTTCCCCACAGGTTCCTAACTTGATAATTCTAACTATAACAAATTTTTCCTAGTATCTTGCATGCAAAGTGATAAGTTATGTACTTCTAAATCCTTGGTCCGGCATCTAGAAAATTTCACTCCGCACCTTGGTCCGGCTACGTGTGTTGCTATACTAACCCTTACCTTTACCTCATATTAAGCATTGTATTCGATATTTGACTAAGTTATTACCTTATACCAATTGATACTAGCCTATTAGATAATATACACTAAATCTATGTTTATAATTCTTTTCCTATTATCTACCTCCTTGGTCCGGCAAGTAGCATTAAGGCGAGTTATAACGTTGTCAATCCGTTAAAAAGACTTCTAAACGAAAGAATTATCAATACATGCAAGACACTATTCTGGAATGGTTATTTTAGTTAGATTTTACCTCATTATTCACCCATGGTTCCCACAACCCTAGTTATGGAGTTTAGTTACCCATAATCATTATCACAATATTCATATATTTAATATAAGAATTCATGCACTTACTTTGATTAGAAAGATTCCAAAAATTCACTTGATTAATCACCAACAATTAATTCCAAAAAAATGTAACAATCAAAAAGTCTAATATGCAAGAGTCTAACGATCAAAGAGTCTACTATCAAAGAGTTTAACCAACAAAGAGTTTAACAACCAAAAGTCTAACCCCAAAAATGAGGTTTTTGCAAATATTTTTTTTACAAAAAAACCTAATAAAAGAAGGACCCTAATTACTAAAAATCTGTCAAAACGCGGCTGGGTCGACGAACCTCGTGACGGACCGACGTTGTCACGACGGGCCGTCATGGCTTCCGTTGTCCCACACTTCACAAATTCTTCTGCTGCTTTCTTCATTACCCTCAATGACAGGTATGATGGACTGTTCCAAGCACGATGGTTCGTCGAGGGTCTCCGTTCCATAATACTTAAACTTCTTGGAATTTGGGTACTGGACTACTCTCTGATCATTGCAACGAAGCAGCAGGACGAACCGTCATGGCTATGACGGTCCGTCA